ACTAAATAAATAATAATATATATATACTATATATATATATATATATATATATATATATATATATATATATAAAGCTTATTTATCTAATTAATCAATACATTTACATCTTACCAGGTATATTTCGTATTCTCATTATGTTATGGAGTATTACGCAGACATAGAAAATTTGTGCAGCAAAAGTTGGATGGTAATGCAATACACGATCTGGATGTAGGCACCGCCATACACCTTTTAATAATCCATTGGTTCTTTCAATACAATTCCTAATTTGTTGATGTGTTCTTGTGTATAATCCTTCTGGAGTGTTTGGTTCTGCACCTCTTATTGGTGTTAACAGATAGGGCAACAATAGATATCCGGAATCCCCAACAAGATACGTTGCTTCATCACCTTCTATGAAATTATTATGTAAAAAGGTTTTTATGTTACTCATGGTCCAAATTGCTGCATCATGAACGCTGCCAGGATATCGAGCATCTGCAGCCAATATTTTTTCGTTTACATCACAAATCTGAAATAATCAATTTTTTTAACATATTTAAAAAAAAATTATACAACTGTTTGGTTTTTCTTTAAAAAAAAAGACATATGGCTGTAATTTTATAATAGAAAATCATATTAACTTTTTTAAAAAAGCATTTTCAAGTTTTAAATTAAAAAAAGATAATTAAATCTGCACAATATGTTTGGAAATAAAGGTTTAGAACTTTAAAAATATTTATAAAGAATAAGGCTCACAATTTTTAAAAACCAATTACAAAGTGGAAGAGCATCGAGAGCCGACGCTAGATATTCGTGGGGTCCGAGTAGTTTAGTGGTAAGAACAGTCGCTCGGAAAAGTGAAAGACCCGGGTTCAAGTCCCGGCTTGGCCATTCGCGCCCTGATTATTTTTCTCTCATCTTTCCTTCTTCCTTTCAATATTTCCTATTGTACAAATTTGATTCTCCGAATATGGAGATCATTGTACTTTATTTCGTACACGATATGTATCTCGATTTGAGATCAGTGTACAAAACTCTAATATGTCTATACAGACAAAAATATTTTCTTTGAGAGATTTAAATATTAATTCGCACGAATATCTAGCGTCTTGATGCTCTTCCACTTTGTGATTGGTTTTTAAAAATATTTTTTTTAGAAAGTTATACAATTTTTTATTACAAAATTACTATCGTTTGAAAATTATTCAACAAAAATCAAATAGTTCCTTAAAATATTTTTTCAGTATATATATGAAAAAAGCAAAATAACTAACCAACTGACAATTTAAGCTGTAGAAGTTCTTTCGATTAAGAAAAAAGTTGGGTGGATATCCAAGCTGCCTGAAACTTGGTGGCACTATTTTCACATGTGTGCAATCAATGCAACCTATAATTCCCGGTATGCCATGTTTTGCAAAAAATCCCTGTTTTATCATAATTATTTCCTCCAAAGTTTGAGGAAATCTTATATACCTGTTACCTAAATGATTTACCATCATGTTTATTATTTCATGAAGATGCCTGCTAATAGTTGATTGAGAACAGGCAACAGATTTATCTTGAGCAACAGGCTTTTGATAACTTCCATGAGCTAAAAATGTTATTGTTGAAAAAAATCGAAGGACTGATGGAATGCTTGTATTTCTTCGACCTTGATTAAGAAATGGTAGAAGTTCATTAAATAGATCTTGAGCAGTCTGTACATCCAACCGGTATAATTTTTTAAATAATTCTTCTGGAGTTTCAAATGGATTACTTGCATCTCTCAAGTTTCTATTCAATCTCCTTAATTCTTGTCTAGAATAAATTATATACACATAAAATACACACACGTGTGAGCAATAACATACTATATATCTATATCGGAATGTAAATATATATATTATATATTCATATTTAATTTTAACACATATTTATTATATTTAATAAACACATATTGAAACGCTCACCGATTTTGTAATTCGTGTAATATTGCCTCAATTAATACTCGATTCACGTTCATCCTTTTATTATAATTGTAAAAAATAATTTTTTTTATTTGTGTATGCGTGTGTGATATGTAATTTACACATATCTGCGAGAAAAGTAACACAAGTAAAAAAAATGGTTCTTTAATTGTTGAAAAGAGAAAAAAAGTAATTGCACATTAATAATAACGTTTCTCATTAATAAAGTTATGAATTGGTTTTTATCTCAAATTCTGTTGCAAATTGTAAATTATCTTAAACAAGTTTGATTTTACAAAAAATAATTTCATATGTCTATAGTTAAACAATAATTTCAAAATTAATTACTTACAGCAGTATTAAATACAGCGGACTTACGTTATTTGAAATCAACTCCTTTTTTTATCGAAAACCGATGTATTATTAATTCGCATAAACAAAATTTCGACTTGTCATGCGGGTGTATCATAGTAGTGGCAGGATCTCAATATTATAGGTTAAAATGTATCTTATAACGACATCATTTCATTTAACAACACCTCTTTGGTTGTTGTTAAGTTTACGACAATTTCGTCGCCATTTTATCATTAATTAACAACAGTTATTATTTACAGAATAAGAAAAGTCATTCGTTAATGACAATCGTTACATAACAACATCGTTAAGGCTTACAGAATAGGGGTCTAAGACGCCTCACGTCAAAACCGATCATACTTCGCCGTACTGTTATATTCATTTCGCCGTACTTTTATATTCATTTCGCCGTACCTTTATACTCTTCTCGCATCGCAATCATACATCTCATTTATACAAATTTCACCAAGTACATTTATCGCAATCATACATCACATTTATGCAAACTACACCGAGTGCATTTATCGCAACCATACATCGCATGTACACACAGTCATCAGACTCATTATTTGAATAAAACACATTTCTTATTTATTATCAACATTCACGTGCATTCTCTCTTGACGTACCAACCGAACGAACCCGGATTCCGGCGAGCTATACCGCGTCCGAGAAAGCTCACACGGTTTCAGCGTATATCATATGTATGTACATAGTATATACAGTACATTTTTTTCACATTATGGATATTTTATGTACATAGGATATCAAATGTTTACTGGGAATGCTACCGGTTAATAAAATTAAGATAAATGACGCATATCCATAAGTGCTTTTTTTTTGCAATCCAAGAAACGGAAGTTTCGAATCGAGTTTTCATGTTTTTTTAATTTTTATGAAAAAGTAATTATGGAGACTTTAAATAAATATATTTACCTTCAAAATGTGATTTTTTCATAATTTTATGATTTTATAAGTTTTTTTAATTTTGTCCACCTAGATTGCAAAAATATCACACTGTGTGCCGTCGTAGTCTTGCGACGGCGATTTTATAATCACAAAACTGCAATTGATTGCAGCTTTGAAAGTTTTGATTAAACGTGCTGACGAATTTCTGGTAGTTTGTCAGCGTTTTTACGTTAGGAACAAATTAGGTTTCGATTTACTGCACGATTCTCCGGTGTCTCGTACGAACCGGAAATGCACTGAATCGTCAGCGTTCTTATATGATATTATGTGATATATATTTTTATACTATTTTATTAATTAAAAATTGGTTGTGGTTCTCTGGACCCACAACACAAGAATGGACACGTTGATACAGCAACAGATGTCGTTGTCGGGTTACATTGCCCGTATGTGGACGAACCTGCAAAAACTCGGGCAGGCTAGGATTATCGAGATTAAAACGCGCCTAGAGCGGTACTACGATTATTGGCGGCAATTTCAGAGCACACACTTTCAACTACTCAAATACAATGAACTTACTTAGTCAACACGAGTACAGCACAAAAGACATTTTTACTCTTACCGAGGAGAATTATTTTCTAGTGCAAAACAAATTTCTTACGGCATTGCTCTCAATGCAGATGAAGGAGTAAAGGAGCGACGCGTCTCAATCGGCCGCGTCGCTCCTCATCAGGCAAATGCAGTTGCCTAAAATCAATCTACCCAAATTTTCCGGCGAGCAGCTCGACTAGGAAAGCTTTCGGGATTTATTCCGCTCACTGGTGCACGAGGTACCTGACATTCCTTTTATGCAAAAACTGCAATACTTGAGGGGCTGCCTTGCTGGTGAGGCAAAGAAGATTGTCGCGAATCTGCCACTGACCGATGCCGCGTATCAGAGCTCGTGGAACGACCTCATCGCGCGATACGTCAAGCAGCGAATCCTGCTCTTCGTGCACATGCGCAATGTGCTCTCCTGTCCAAATGCTGCAAGGTCATCGCCATCGGAGATCAAGCACTTACTCGCCACTGTGAATCAATCGATCTGAGTGTTTACATCGTTGAAACGTCCGGTTGACCAATGGGATAATTGGCTGGTCCATCTATTGGTCAGCAAGTTGAATGCTCACACGCGTCTTCACTGGGAAACTTTACTGGCGGATTCACGGATATTTCCCACGTTCAGACAATTACAAGAATTTCTTGAAACCCGCAAACGGGCATTAAAAGCAGCCAATCTGGAGGATTCATTGGCGCGTCCCGCTTCCACGCACAGTTCGAAAACCACAAAAGGCTCTCGAATCTCCGCCAACATGGCTTCGACGGCGAAGTCAAAGGGAAAAGGCAAATGTCTTCTTTGCCAAGACGCTTACGCGTTACTGTACTACGCGAAGTTCAAGGCGATGACGGTCGCGTAAAGGAGCGAGCAAGCGAGGAAATGCGGCGCATGCCTTAATTGTCTGCGCGCGGAGCATCATGCCGATGCATGTCCGACGACAGGTCGTTGCCTGGTATGCGCGGGCAAACATCACACCGCTTTTCACGGCTTCCAGCCTCAACCCGCGGGGATTCCAAAGGCTGCAAATTTGAACGAGGCCTCCGCCTCCAGCACCAAGGCGCTCAACTTGAGCGTGTCCGCCTTCGTTTCCCGTCCGGCTTACACCACCCTTCTCGCGACAGCTTAAGTCATTCTGCAGAGCGACTCAAAATAATCAGTTAAAATCAGAATTCTCTGGGATCTGAAGCTACGTTTGTCTCCGAACGAGTGGCACAACAGCTGCGCGCGAATCGCAAGCGAGTCAATGTGACCGTCGCGGGCCTTTAGGGTATCCAGACGGGCACGGTCACTTCGTCCATCGGAGTGGGCGTGCGTTCTCCGATCAACTCAACATTGCACATCCGAACACTCGTGCTAAAAAATTTAACGAATTTGTTACCTGCAAGACACGTGCTACCCCCCTCGTGAACGCATCTATTCGGTTTGACCTTGGCCGACCCGAAGTTCAACGTCCCGGCCAAGGTTGACGCGATTTTGGCTGCGGATATTTATGATCGGATTCTAGAACGATAATGTAGATAATAATGTAGATATAGCATCAATTGTTCATTCTCATAAAAAGCCAAAAAAATTTAATTAAAAACTCATATTTTTTTTTAAATTAAGAATTTGTTATTTTTATCTTCAGTAGAGTAGGCCTACTAAGGAAACCATTTTTTTAAAAACGCGTCAACATTAGTACCTTATGGATGACGTGGAAATCTATTAAAATATTTTCACTTAATAAATTTAAAAATTAATTATTTTTAATAAGTTTTAATAAATTTTTAAAAATTTTAATAAATAGGAAGAAGAATCACTTATAATCAGATAGTGAGTCAAATAAAGCGCTCCTAACGCTCGGCGGCGCTGGCCCTAGCGGCTGCGGTGCGCGCGGTAAGGAGAAGAAAGGAGGCATATACCGCGGAAATCGGCTGAAATGTTCAACTAATTTCGAGCACTACTCTAAATAATTGTCTTTTACCAGGTCCAAGATTACAGGTGGATCTGTGGCTGATACTCTCAAAGTGGCGGCTGTTTCGAGTCGGGTTCATGGCTGACATAGTCAAGATGTTCCGGCAGATCCAGATGCACTCAAAGGATGCTAACTTACAGCGCATTTTGTGGCGCGCGAACCCATCCGAGAAGGTACGTGATTATTGCCTTACAACAGTCACATACGGAACAACGTCGACCCCCTTTTTAGCCACGTCAACGCTACGTCAACTGGCGCAGAACGAATCGAAACACTTTCCGCTGGGGGCGGCTATCCTTACTCGTCACTCATACGTAGACGATATTCTTGCCGATGGTGATTCACCGGACCAGGAGAGCTTGGTTCAGAAACAATTCGTTCAGAAACAACTCGAAACAACTACAAACGGGAAGCTTCTTCCTCAGCAAATGGGCCTCCAATTGAAGTGAGCTGTGTCCACGACTGGTGTAACGTCCCGCCAATTTTCATATATATATTGTAAGCGTAAAACGCCAGAAAATTTCAAAAATCTTAAAGTAAGATTAAAGTAGGGGAAAATTTTTGTCAAAGTAATATAATTATTGAATTTTGCAATAAGAACAAAAGAAAGAATGAATATATTAATATGTACCGCAACATCTTTTTATGACTTAGTAAAATCAGTAAAGTGAAGTCAGTTGAATAACTAAATAAATACTCGTTCAGTGGTGTCACGCTCATAAATAAAACGCTCATGATGAAATTTGCAATAGGCATAAAGCCTCAAAAATAATTAAAGGTCAAAGTAAAGTTAAAATTAAAACAAGCAATAGGCAAAGGCCTCAAGAAAATAAGAAGTAGCTGAGGGAGATAACAAGAAAAGTTAATAAAATTGAAAGAAGTAGCTAAGGAAGATTTACAATGAGCCCAAGGCCTCTATAATTAAAAGAAAGTTGCAAGGTAGCTAAGGACGGAATTAATAAAAGTTAAAATGAGAAGTAGCTAAGGACGGAAGAAATAATTAAAGTCAAAATGAGGAAGTAAAGCTAAGGAAGGAAAGTCATTAGGAGGTGACGCAGAAACCCACTCCATTTTACTGATAGTGGCAGTCATTAGAATGTGAAGGTGATGCATAGACCCACTCCACTTGATTGCCGCCAAAGGCAGAATGTATTTTATAAAAGATAAAGATAAGAAGAGAAGAAGAAGATAAAAATAGGAGACAGAAAATTATCAGGAGCTGACGATAAGGTCCGACTCCT